AGATAGAAAAAGCAAGAGTATTGTGCCTAAAATGGATGCCAAAAGAGGAGCTACCTCTGATGAATCTCAAAATATGTTTGACAGCTGTGAAATGAACATCTGTAGGAGTAGGCATAAACTGGCACACTTAATTGACAAAAAAAAAATAATACCAGGCCTTGTAAAGGTAAGATATTGTAATGCCCCAACCAAACTTTTGTAGGCAGTATGATATGTTAGAAATGTCCCACCTGATTTGGTAAGGCTAGTGGATGGAGCAGCAAGGGTCGTGCAAGGTTTGGAATCTGCAATTTGAGCCTTAAGAAAGAGATCTAATGCATACTTTGCTTGTGTAAGAAATAGTCCTTGGTCAGTTTATTTGAATTCTAGCCCAAGAAAGAAATGTAGAGGTCCTAAATCTTTCATTTCAAATTCATGGCCAAAAGTTGTTTTTAGAGTATCTATATAGGAAACATCATTGCCTGTGATGATGATATCATCAACATACATGAGTAAAATGGTGAAAGACTTGCCCACTAATCTAACAAACAAGGAGGGATCAGCTGAAGAGGTTTGAAAATTAAAAGTTGAGAGATGAGAAGTAAACCTCTCAAACCAAGCTCTAGGAACTTGTTTTAGATCATAAATAGACTTGCTCAGTTTGCAAACATAATCTGGAAAGGAAGGGTCTACAAAACCAAGTGGTTGAGCCATATAAATAGTTTCTTGAAGATGGTCATGTAAGAAAGCATTTTTACCATCCAGCTGATGTAACTTCCACTTAAACTGTACATCCAAAGCTAAGATGTGCCTCACAGTTAGTTGTTTAACCATAGGAGAGAATGTCTCATGATAGTCAACACCCTGTTCTTGGTGATATCTTTTGGCAACTAACCTTGCTTTATATCGAGAAACAGAGACATCAAAGTTATGCTTGGTGTTAAATACCCACTTACAGCCTATCAGATTGTATATTGGAGAAGGTGAAACTAAAGCCAAGTCCCCTGTTTTTGAAGATCTGAGAACTCATCAGTCATTGCTTGTCGCCACTTTGGAAACTTAGAAGCAAAAGAAAAAGAAATAGGTTCGGTGTGTAGAGAGGCTACAAAAAAGGATTTCTTTTTGGTATACCAACCTTGGATCTAGTTTGCATAGAGTGCGTGTTGAGAGTGTAGGTATTTGGTGCAGAAGACTATGAATCTAAAGGAGAAGGGCGAACATCAAAGACAGAAGGAAACATATCTGCTAATGTTGGAGAAGAAGTAAGTAAATTTGCTATGGAATTGGAATGAGTATATGTTGAGGTGGTGGATTGTGATGGTAGAAATAGCTAAGGAAATCGAGAAAAAGGATAGAATAGGGGATAAAAGTGAAGGAGGATGACCAATGATAGATTGTTGTTCAAAGAATATGCCTGATGGATACCAAATGTCATTAGTGAAAGGGCAATAAGAAAATTTAGAAGCTGAAGTAGCAAAAGGAAATATAGTCTCATCAGACATGCCTAGAAACATACATCTTGTTGGACTGATAATCATAGTAAAGATAACCCTTATAATCAAATGGATATCTAAGAAATACACATTTTGTAGACTTGGGTTCCAATTTATTACGTCTGTAAAGCTAAAGCAAAAAGGTAGCAAGACAGGTTTGCAAAAAGGTAGCAAGACAGGTTTTGAGATGATTATAATTAGGTCTGGTGTGAAAGAGAAATTCAAAAGGGGATTTCTGAGAGGTGTTCTTACTGGGCAGTAGATTAATCAGATAAGTGGCAATAGTAAATGGTTGAAACCACAAAATAGGAGGTAAAGAAGCTATAGACAGTAAAGTTAGAGTTGTTTCTGTAAACTTTGATCAAATAAAGAAGAGCGAAAGGAGAAAGATAAAATATTATAATTGCTAAACAAGTCTGTAATACTGCTTAACCTGGAATATACAATATGAGCCCTTATATATTAGGGCAACAAAACAATGTAAAATGCATAAACTACCCAAAATATAAATACTCTAACATTCCCCCTCAAACTCATGATATGGTAACATCAAACATCAAGAGTTTGCTAAGAAGAAAATGAAAGCACGCGAGGGTGTGAGATTTTCGTAAAGAAACGGTCAGCAAGTAACCAACGCAACCAAACTATATCTGCTGTTGTGAAGGCCAAAGCATGAGACTCAGTTTTAGCAAATGATCGAGCTACAACAATTTATTTCTTACTTTTCCGCGAAATAAGAGAATTACCAAGAAAGAGACAGAAACCAATAGTGCACCTGCTATCCATAGAGTCATCAGTCTAGTCCACATCAGAGTAAGTACGAAGTTCTAGAGACTTAGAGGAAGAAAACTATAAACTCAACAAAAAATTCAAGTGTAGGCTCAACAAATTAAGGCCCAAAATAGTAATGAGGGATCCAACAGAAAATCAAAGCCCAACAAAAATCACCAGCAACAATGTCCAATAAAACAAAGCCCAACAAAGAAAAGAAGAAAAGTCAAACCAGCAGCCCAACATAAAGAAGTTCAAATCAACAAACCCAAAAGATTGGGGTTGCCCAACAAAAACCACCAGTAACAATGCCCAACAAAGAAAAGAAGAAAAGTCAAACTAGCAGCTCAACCGAGAGAAGCCCAAATCAGCACTAGCTCAAATCAATAAACCCAAAGGATTGAGGTTGTCCAACAAAAACCACCAACAACAATGCCCAACAAAATAATACCCAACAAAGGAAAGAAGAAATGCAAACCAACAGTCCAACAAAGAGAAGCCCAAATCAGCATCAGCCCAAATCAACAAACCCAAAAAATTGAGGTTGCCCAACAAAAATCACCAGCAACAATGCCCAAATCAAATAGCCAAAAGCCCAATAGTCCAAAATAGGTGCAAACTCAAAGTTTTGTTCTCAAACTCCAAACAATACCCAAAGAGAATATGAGCGAACCCAAGAGCAGAAACTAGAACCAAAAGAAGCAGTCAACGTCAAACAATCAAAAGTTCACCACAAATCAACTCAACAGTTTTTCAAATCAAATACTCATAACAAATTGAGATTTCTTACACAACAATACAACAAAAATGCCACAAAAAATTGAGTTGGGACACTATTCACAGCATGAACAGAAACTTTGGTACTGTTCACATTGCGTGAACAGTATTTTCGGCACTGTTCACTATGCGAACAGTATTTTTGGCACTGTTCACAGCCCATAGAACCATAAAAATTCAACAACCCACCAATGACTATCCCTCAAATAACACAACCCAACACCGAGAATCTTTAGTCGCACTACTTAGACTAGATATGAAGTCAAAAAGTCGAAGACAATAACAAAAAAATAAATCACCATAGATGATGTCAGCCCTAATCCAAGAATATATTTTTTTTCCAACTAAATTACTGTGGTGCTACAATATATTTTGAATCGAAAACCATGATTTGATACCATGTAAACTTTAATTAAATAAAGAAGAGTGAAAGGAGAAAGAGAAAATATTATTATTACTAAACAAGTTTGTAATACTGCTTAACCTAGAATACACAATATATACCCTTATATAGTAGGGCAACAAAACAATGTAAAATGTCTAAACTACCCAAAATATAAATAGTCTAACTCTTTCAACTATGTATGCTCTTTCTTTCTGTAGTCCTATTCTATTCAGGATTGTAAGGATAGGATTTTTTGTGATGAATACGATGCGATGGGAGAAGGGTTTGGATGTGGCTGCTAGTGTATTCACCTCCCCCACCAGACTGAAGTGCCAAAATTTCATGAGGAAGCTGGTTTTCAACAAAAACCTTGAATTTACAGAAGATAAGAAAAACATTAGATTTATGAGTCACTGAAAAAATCCATGTGCATTTAGTACAATCATCGATGAAAGAAATACAAAAACGAAATTTATTGATAGAAATATGGGGTGAAAGCCCCCAAACATCACTATGAACTAGCTGTAAGGGAAACAAAGATACATAATGGGAAATACGAAAGGGAAGCTTTGTCATTTTACCATACAAACAATGAACACAGATACAAGAAGTAGAAGATTTCTGTGACAAAGAAAGTTTGTTATTGTCTAAAATGTGTTGAATAACTAAAGCTGCAGAATGACCTGTTATGTCATGCCAGACTTGATTTGGAACCCTACTGCCAAAACATGCAACTAGAGTAGAGAGGGATGGAGAGACACCATGAGAAGAATAAAGTTCATTGCTACTCTAGCGTTTGTATAGTGTTTGTCCCGTGATGCTGTCCTGAATTTCAAATAAATCAGAACCAAAGATGAATTTAAAATGATTATCAGAACAGAATTGTTTTACATAAAGCAAATTGGTAGCAAAAGATGGAACTCGTAGGACATTGTTCAGTTTGAAAGTATGAGAAGGAGTTTTAAGAACAGAATGACCTGTGTTCACCAGAAATGTTGTCTTCACCGGTGTATGGAATTTCCAAAGTAAAGGTTTTAGTTAAGATGTGCTATGATTTGATGTTCATATGTTAGTGAGCCAAAAATTAGGAACAGCATTACCCAAGTGAAGCAGCCATTGCAGCAAGCTGTGAAGGCGGATGATGTCCTTGATAAAGCTTAATTAATCCGGTGGTAATTCGTATTTAACAAGTAATATCATATTAATTCACGTTGCGTATGAATCATCTATAATTAATATATAAAAAAGTCAAGACGTTTATTTCTTTTATTTGACTTCACCCATGTTCAATTCAAATTCATTTATTAATGATGTCGTGTTATATCCACTCCACTCGTTTGTAAAACCGGTGACTTAAAAAATACCAAAGCCCTCTAATTTTGTATCATGTTTATGTCATATTAACGAATCTTGTAATACTTTGACACCCTTAATTATAAATATTCGGGGTGCAAAAGAACAAGAACGCACACAAATTGTTTATCCTTGAATATCACTCTTATGCTCATTCAAACTCTTGGTTTCTTGAAGTTAGTACAAGGTTCTACAAAAAAAATCATTTATTTCGAAATATCACATTGAAGTGATCCGCTCCATCAAAATTTGTATACCATTTCTTCCGTATACCCAAGATCCTTTAGTATACCAGTGAGCTGCAACAAATCAAATAAGGAGGAGAAGGTTTAGAGGTTGAGAAAATGTGCATATGGCTTATCAGGAGTAAAGGACAGAATGTGCTTTCGTACCTCGCCTTGTGAGCGGTTGGCTTTATCGCCAGATATATGTTTCATCAGTCCAGGAGGGCCACATACCTGGAGAAGTAAAAAAAAAATCAGAAAGAGACCTCATAGTCAGAAGTCATTCACGCGGAATTTTACACCATATCTGCTCAACCATAATGACGTTTCCAATCCTTTATCTTTCACCAATCTTCATCAACAAATAACAAAGCATTGTTTGATACAAGTTTACAGACTCTAAACTTACTAATAACCTTACTAATTCTTCTATCAAAATCCATCCAATAGGTCCATAGTCGTCATAATTAAGTGATCCCTTACTAGCTTCTTGACAAATTGTGTTGATGATGAGTCGAGCATCGCAGAGTCAATTGGACAATTGTAAAGGTAACAGACTAGAAATTCTACCAAGTATAAGACTTTGAAGTAGGTCTCTCATATGATCTGTTGACACCAGATTCAGCTGACAGGATGTTTTGCATTGACCTCTCTCTCTCTCTCTCTCTCTCTCTCTCTCTCTCCTGATTGGAGAAAAACCAAAATATTTCTACTTCCTTTTCCATTGAAAATTGAATCGATAGAGTGGATATAGAATGAATGTTGCATATTGCAACTATCACATATGCAGATTACCTTTGATGCCATATATTAATGAACTATTTTAAAGCCATCACAACAGAGATGCAGAGGAAATCTTACAAGAATAAGAGTATCATCACTAGGACCAGGTAATCCTTTCACAACCATATCCTTTGATATGTAACCTGCACCTCCCCTCCAATCCTTTGTCGGATTATCTACGGTGTAGAATATCTGGAAATTTTCATAAACAAAAGAAATTTAAGTCAGAGGAAAACTCAAAATATAGGAATAAACAACAGTCCTTTTCATATTAACCCAGCCAGAACCTTCAAATTGGGGTGGCTAGCACCAAGCACATCAAGCTTCTGTTTGAGCAGTATGTCATCTGGGGATACATTAGCATAGAGCAACGAAACCTGAAAACATGAAAGCTAATCATGAAGGCATAGCACACTTGCATGCATTGCAAGACAACAGCAACTGACTAAATTGCTTATCATTCCGAACTACAGCAACTGACTCTTTGATTGATCTGATTAATAATGCCTTATTTATGCCCTAGATATCTCATTATGTTCATTTACCAATGCACATAACTTTACGTAACATTTTTTGTAAACTAGTCAGGTACAACTACCATTAAGTTTGCCAGCGCAATCTGCCAGAT